TCCGAGCGGAGGGAGTTCGTCTCCAAGGAAGTGACCACCCTCCAAAGCATTGGGCATATCAGAGAAGTTAAGTACCCGGAATGGATGGCGAACGTAGTGTTGGCTCCGAAGGGAAATACATGGAGGATGTGTGTGGACTACACCGACCTAAATAAGGCATGCCCCATGGATCCATTCCCACTCCCGAACATCGACCAGCTGGTGGATGAGACGGCGGGTTGCGAGCTCATGAGTTTCATGGACGCCTTCAGCGGGTACCACCAAATCCGAATGCACCCTGAAGACGAAGAGAAGACGTCTTTCACTACTCCCGGCGGAGTTTATTGCTACAAGGTGATGCCTTTTGGACTCAAGAACGCCGGGGCAACCTACGCTAGGATGGTGAGCAAGCTCTTCGCGCCCGTCCTCGGGAAGAGCATGGAAGCGTACGTCGACGACATGATTGTGAAAAGCAAGCAGGCAACCACCCATGCGGAATACTTAGAAGGAATTTTCAAGATTATGGAGAAGTACAACCTTCGGCTGAACCCGAAGAAGTGCACGTTCGGAGTCCAAGGCGGTAAGTTCTTGGGACATATGGTGAGCAGGCGCGGTATTGAGCCCAACCCCGAGAAGGTGCGCGCCATCCTTGACATGGAAGCTCCACGAAATGTCAAGGAGGTGCAGCGCTTGACCGGAAAGTTGGCTGCGCTCAGCCGCTTCCTTTCCAAGGTAGCGGATCGAGCCGCTCCATTCTTCCAAGCTGTGAAGAAGTCCCGAGGGTTCGTGTGGACGGAAGACTGCCAGCAATCCTTTGAGTCTCTGAAATCTTATCTCCTCTCTCCGCCGATCCTCGCTAAACCCGAGCCCGGAGAAACCTTATACCTTTACTTGGGAGTGTCGCCCAATGCACTAAGCTCAGTTCTAGTCCGAGAAGAAGGCGGAGCTCAGCACCCAGTGTACTACACGGCGAAGATGCTGAGGGGTGCCGAGCTCAGGTACTCGGTGGCCGAAAAGACAGTGCTGGCCGTGGTTTCAACCGTGCAGCGGCTGACGCCCTATTTCCAAGCTCACCCGGTCCAGGTACTTTCCCAACAGCCTATAGGTGCGTTGCTCAGGAGTCCGAACGTGCCCTCTCGCATGTCCAAGTGGGCGGTGTTCCTTGGAGCCTTCCAGATTGAGTTCAAGCCAAGGCCAGCGATCAAGGGCCAAGCGCTGGCCGACTTCGTGGTAGAATGCACCGCCCGAGAAGAGCCGATCCCGGAACTTGAAGCCGACGGCTGGTGGACAGTTTTCACCGACGGCTCCTCCGCCGCCAAAAACTCGGGGGGTGGAGTGGTAGTCATCGCTCCCGAAGGCTTCAGAGCATATTACTCAATCCGATTCGGCTTCAAGGCATCAAATAATGAGGCGGAGTATGAAGCGCTCTTGTGCGGTTTACGTCTGGCAGCCGGGATGAACGCGACGAAGCTAAGGATAAAGTGTGATTCGAAGTTGGTGGTTGGCCATGTGTCGGGAGAGTTCGAAGCGAAGGACGAAAGAATGAAAAAATACAGAGATACGGCCCTAGAACTACTTAAAAGTTTCACCGCGTATAGTGTCGAGCAGATCCCTCGGGCGGAGAACGCCGAGGCGGATATCTTGTCGAAGCTGAGCTCAGACAGACCCGAGCACATCAGGCGAATGGCGAATGTGGAAGTGCTTTCCGAGCCGAGCATCCACGCTTTCCCCGTGGCAATGATCTGTGCTCAACCCAGAGATTGGACGGACGACATAGTCGCCTTCCTAAAGGATGGCACCCTCCCAGACGAATCGATGAAGGCCAAGTTGGTCCGGACAAGGGCACCGGGGTATACCTTGGAAGGCGAGAAGCTATACAAGAGAGCATACAACGGGACGCTACTCAGGTGCCTCCGACCAGCCGAAGCAAAACAAGTCATGGAGGAGGTGCACGCCGGAATCTGCTCCGCCCACCAAGGAGCGTACGCGGTATCAAGAAAGATAACCCTTCAAGGATATTTTTGGCCAACAATTGTTAAGGATTGCGCGGAGTTCGTAAAGAAGTGTAAAGTGTGTCAAGAGTTCCAGAAGGTATCAGGGAGGCCTTCAACCAACTACACCCCCATCAGCACAACCATCCTGTTCGTGCGGTGGGGGCTGGATCTCGTGGGTGCATTCCCTAGGGGCACCGGGAACGTGAGGTACGTCATCGTAGCCATTGACTATTTTACTAAGTTGGTGGAAGCAGCCCCATTGGCCAGTATCACCGGAGCTCAATGCCAGAAGTTTCTCGCAAAGCAAGTCATCTGCCGCTTCGGCGTTCCCGAGCACATAATCACGGATAATGGGACACAATTCGAGTCCAAGCCCTTTAATGACTTCCTTGGGATCTGGGGGATCAAGCACAGCTATGCGTCGGTTGGGTACCCATAGACGAACGGCCAGGTCGAGAACGCCAACCGAACGATAGTCGATGGGCTGAAGCGGAAGTTGGAGGTCTGCGGAGGGGAGTGGGCAGAGGAGTTGCCGTACATCCTATGTAACGCCCTACAAACCGGCCTAGTTTTAAATAAATAAATAATATTTATTTATTGAGACTCATTATTTTAAATTGAGATTTTGATCTCTACAAATGGCTTTCAAAAGTTAATGTGTGTTAAATATAAAAAGATGTTTTGAAAACGGACCTCTCAACATTAATTAAATAAATTAATTCATGATTGGGGTGGACCCATAAGTTTGAAAATAAAGTTCTTAGAAAAATTGTCTGAACATGTCATTAAATTCGTTTTGACTGTCTGGTTCCAAAAGCGCAATCGGATCTCAATTCGGACCCGTTTGGGGGAAAAACCGTGTACCGTTCAGGTCAGAATTTTACACAACAGAATGGAATTTAGGGAGGTAACTCCCCAAATCAAGAACCACACGCCACACACCCTTCATTTCCATAACCCCCATCATTATTCCTTCATTATACCTCCATAAATCCCCATAAATTCACATGATTATAAAACTCCCTCCTCCTTTCACCTTCTTCACCAACTTGTAACTCCCATTCAACATCACAACTCTCTCTCTCTCTAATGGTGTTCGGCCAATCACAGCGGCAGCTACGCGAGGATTCGTTCATTCATTCGTTCGTCGTTCAACGTTGACAACCGTTCGTTCATCTTGTTCCATCGTTCCGTCAATCCCTTCATTAGAGGCGAGTAGTTGTCCCTCTAATTCTAGAACATCAAGTCATAATCTATGTCGTTATATTCATAGGAATGTCGTGCGCAACCTACGTAGAATCTATGCATGTTCGTAGGTTAACCATCAAGCATACGTGTGTCCGTGTTATCAAGTTATGTACTCGTTATTATAAATGTTTGAAACCTCGTAAGTTATTCGATTATCTAGCATGGAAATGTAAACATTCGTTTCTAAAATTTCCAACGTTTTGATGACAAACAAACAGATAAAATGGAAATCAGCGTGCCTTGATAATCGAGTTACAGGATAGTACAATCGACTATCAGGCCACGCTGGACTCCTCAATTGATTCAACACAGCGTGATAATCGATTATCACATAGGCAATAATCGATTATCAGGGCTCTCTGAACTTAGGACTTCCCGAACAAACCAACTTGAAAATCGATTTTCATAAGGTGACAATCGACTATCACAGTCTGCAGGACTTTGGGGACAGAAGCTGCACAGCATGATAATCGATTATCAACAATAGACAATCGATTATCAGCCAGTTCTGAACCTAAGGCCATCATGTTGAGCAAATTGTTTTCATACGGAATCAAACATATATGTATGCGTTGAATTTAACTTCTTTCTTCAATCAATGCATTCAATTCATCATGTTCATCCTAGACGCATGTCCTAGGGTCATCATCATGTGCATACCGCTGTAGGGAGGTCAGGCTTTCGTGCGCCTACTACAGTGGGCCCGTCCAGGAACCTTTGGGATCCAACGGGTTTTCATCAGGTGGGCTTGGTGTACGTACATGGTAGTCAGGCTACGGCTACCACCCAGTTTTGCTAGTTCACTTGCGACGTTTTGTCGAGCCTGGGTCATTATCGGAGTGGAGGGGTGATCCTGTCAAGTGAGACTAAGTCAGGGGTGTCCCTAATAGCTCAAGTCATGCATCAAGTCATTTGTCAACATGTATGTTTCGTGTCACGTCAATATCCAATGTGGTTGTCATCATCATGTATGATTTCCATCACGTCAACATTCAATGTGGTTGTTATTCATTTTGTTATGTGTAATAATATCCATCAAGTGCAAATTAATCAGTTAGCAAACATGTGGTTTTCGGTACGTTAAGTACAGGTATGTATGTGTATAACCATATGGGTTATCACTTCATGTTCTTTTGTTAGATTCACTCCTCAGCTTTTGCTGAGCGTGTAGTTGTTTTTGCTACACGCAGGTAGACATGACGGTACAGGTGCTAACCCTGGAGGCCAGTGTTGATGGGAGGATGGGCGGCGCACGGGCGAGTTTATTAATTAACCATTTAATTAATTAATCATTTGGGCATGAACCCACCATGTGTCGTTTTACTTATTTTGGACTTATCAATTTACTTCCGCTTTTACTCTGCATTTAAATCACACATGTTTTGGAACTAATTCCCTAGCACTTATTTCACTAATTAAAACACAACCGTTTTCATAATAAATAGTCATTAATGCGTTTTTCTCTACGGACGGTTCTCGGACCGCCCATGTAACCCTACAGGTCCGTTGGGTCGCGGTGAACTGGGTCCACGGAAGGCGGGTGTTACAATTTGGTATCAGAGCAGTTCGATTTTGTGAAAAAAAACAAAAAAAACATATTTTGTCATCTTGGTCAAAGAGTATATTCAAAAAGTCCACAGCCGCATCTCCCATCGCATCACTCCTAGGGAAAGGTACACCGTTATCTAGATCACATGTATGTCATATTATAACCGGTTCTGATTTAAGCTATTCCTATAGAAAATGAGCCAAGCAGCAGGCAACGACGGACAGGATGTCCCACATGGAGAGCCTGAGCACGTGAGCGTCCACACGGAAGCGTCAAGCTTCACACCGCAACAGGCCCCAGAGCAGGCAGCCCCAAGCGTGGGCCCTGTTCCGGGAGTCGTTCCTATCAACCAGCCGCAGCTCGCGGTTAACTTCATGAACTTCCTACAGCAATTGGCTGGTGCATACGTTCCACCACCGCCGCCACGAAGGTCTAACCTTCGTGTTCGGCACTCCCCCTCAGGGGAAGAGCCGAGTGTAGCCCTTAAGGCTAATGGCGAAAAGCGAAAAAGACTTAATCAAATCCAAATTTTATTCATCTCGGAAAACGGGCAAATACATGGCACAAACGCCTTACAACAATTAAACACCTTGCAATTAAAGTACGGGGAGACTTCAGTGCATGCCACAATTCCACGCCCGCTCGCAAAGACAAGGTGAAGGAGCCCGACTGGTGACGGAGTGCCCGGTGGACTCGTCATAGCTGGGCGAGCCTGGGTCTTCAAGGGAGCAACGGCTCGGGTGGTGGGATGCCACGGAGCTCTCGATTGGGATCGCTGCGGGAGGAGCCGGAGGGCGGCGACCTCGGCCACCGCGGGCGACAGGAAACGGAGGGGCGACGACCTCACGACGGACCGGCGGAGCCGACGGAGAAGGGGTCCTCTAGTCCTCCTCCGATGAATAGTAGATGAACCCCGGGATCTTGGCAGAAGGATCGGGGTGCACCGACTCGAACTCAGAGTCTGAGTCCCAAGAATCCCGTAGAGAGGGCGGCGGGGTTGAGCTCGGCCCAGATTTGGTCGGTATGGCAGAAGAGCCCCCGAGGGAATAGCTACCAAAGGAAAGCGTCTCCCCTCGCATCTCACTGGAATCAGGGGGAGTGGGGGCCGAGCGCGGCATGACAAGAGTTAGAGAAATTCAAATATGAATGGAACAAATCGTGAGAACCCCCCCTTATATAGGCATGTCGCCATAGAGGGAAGGTACACGTGGCAGCATGGGGATGGTCGTACTGACGGCAGGTCAAAAGGTCCCAGGTCCCAAGGTTGTCTCGGTTAACGAGGAGACAAAAGGGACCAAGCCCCGAGGTATCCTCTGTTCGGCACAACCGAGCTCAGGTTGGGCGGGGGAAGGATCGAGCTCGCAAGTTCAAAGAAACGACGAGGGCAGTAAGATTAAACACAAAAGAGAGGCATAGCACATCTGTACGAATCATCGAGTCATAACATATTCGAATTCAAAAAAAAAAGAGAACAAAGTCTTGAGCAGCAGTACATCAAATACAACAAAGTTTCAAATCATTTCACTTGGCACTTGGCTGCTCGCCGGCTGAGTTCCCGCCATTCGGGTAGTAGATTGAAGTGTCGAGCTCATCAGGATTGTCGCATGGCTCGGGGAAGTCCTCCCCGGCGAGGAACCTATCCGAGAGGACTTGCTGCGCTCGGAACAGACCGAGGTTGTACCACGACGTTCCTTCGGAGCGGGCGAATGCCTTGCCCTCAGGAGTCTGCCCCCATGCCTTGAGCAAATCATTCATGCGAGTGAAGGCTTCCTCCTGAAATGCATCCGATGCTAGGAACTCGGCAACGGCTTGATCGCGAGCCTCCTGGCGCGCCTTGCGAGCAGCCTCCTCCGCGAGTTGCTGAGCCCGCTCCTCGGCCTGGCGAGCTTGTTCCTTGGCCGCCTTCAAGGCCTCATTGAGGTCCGCTATCTCAACATAAGCCCTACTCCGGTCGTCCTCACTGGCGCGCAGCCGCTGACTCATGTCGACCATGCGCATCATCGCCTGCAAATAACAAAGGGTTGAGCACCACAGATGAATTATATTTGTAAGGTGTAATAAGGGAAACTTACCGAGCCCAGCTCATGGAAGGTATCTGAGGCCAGAGTCACCCGGTCGACATCTTTTAGCTTGGCACGATCGGTTGGAGGAGTAAAGCTGCGCAGGAAGGTCTCCGGGTCGTAATCCCGGTCTAGGAAGGAGACCCGAGCGGGGAAGGCCGCCTTGACATATTTGGGATGGCCAAAGTCCTTCATCATGGGGGACTCTGACCCCTGCAAAGCGTCGGCGGCCGAGGCCGTTTCCTTCCTCTTCTTCTTCTGTGTCGTCTCGGATGTCGGCTTCACGGGGGGAGTCGGGGGACGGCCGCCCGAGGGAGGAGCCTGGGAGTTGCCGCTCGGAGCGTCCGGGAACATGAGCTTCATCTGCTCGGCGCTGGAAAGCATGATTTCACCTGCACAAAACCAAAGAAGACAAGTGGTGAGGGAAGGACAATTGCGAGAAGAAGCGGGAATCCGGAACAATCGCGACGCACGGACGGTCGAGCGTAAGAGTGCACTAACCTGAGGGGCCTTCTTCGATGCTCCTCTGGGTGTCCTCTGGGGATAGGAAGACGAAGCCGAGTGCCGCTAGCGCCTCATTCGTCACCACCGAGCCGACTTCGAAGGGCCCCCCTTGACAGAGCGTCTCTACGTCTTCGAGCATCTTGTCCGAGGTGACACACGCGGAGCAGCGTCGAAAGGAACTGAGGGGTTCTTTACAAAAAGGGGAGCCCGAGGAGAGAGAAACGAAGATGAACTTCCCCTTCCAACTCTTAGCGGAGTCCTTCCTCGTCTTGAAAAGCCTCTCCTGCCTCTGGAAGATAGAGGCGTACGAGCCCGAGTCGGAGTTGGCCCGACCAGATGACTTCGCCAACCGGAAGAGCAACAGGAAGCGAGCCAGATCGGGGCGAACCCTGGTCCCTTGGCAACGGATAAGGAACCCGGCCAAGTAACGATGGGATTTGGGCACGACTTGGCAAGGGAGAAGATCGAAATGTTGGAAAAAGTCTATGACCAACTGATGGAGGGGGAAACGAAACTCGTACTCGAGGGATTTGAGGTGAATAGCGAAGAAACCCGAAGGAGCATCAAAGACTGACTGCTCGGGGGTGGGACGGCGCACGGTCACACCCGGCGCCGAGGCCAAGCGCTTCGCCTTGCAAAATTCCTCAGCCGTGAGGGTGCATTTCCACGCTCGGATCCCCGAGTCCTCCAGGGCAGTGCGCCTCTGCTTGCGAGGCTCGGACTGAAGAGGGATCTCAACCGCCTCGACTATCTCCTCAACGGAGGCCGAGCGGGAGTCGCTTTCATGAGCGGAGCATGTGACGGAACCCTCGACGTCGCATTCGGACGCGGACCGACGAAAGACTGAGGATTGGGAAGACATGGAAGAGCAAGGTCGAAGAGGACTAACCTAGTGCGGAGCCGGAGAACGGACGAGGATGGCAACGGGAAGACTAGCGACGGCAAAGAATCTTACTCTCTCTCTCTAAAAGTGGGGAATGAGATGAGTAGGGAGGGTATTTATAGAGGAAGGGTTGAATGGGTGTAATGATGGGCCGCCACTTGGCCTAGGGAGATTTAACGACGCATCCCTTCATGATGGGGAAGCCCAAACGGCACCAATGACCTGCCAACTATTCCACGTGGACCCCGCGCCGCTTTCCTACAGTGCCCATACTCTCCCGTGTCCCATCGCTGACTGCAACGAAACCCGGAGAGTGGGGGGCTTATGATGGAGGACGACCCCAAAAGACACGTCATCCGGGACCCATCAGCCACATGGAGGATCTTCTCTGCTCGGCCCATGAACTCGGCTTGCCCTATGGGTTCGGCTCGGGTAGCGAGCTCGGCTGGGGACCGTGATAGCGACTGCCGGATAGCGACCGGCCATGTTGACTGCGCGACAGCGACGGGATGAAAGGGACAATGCATAACAGGGATGACGTCCGCTAGGCGACGAACCTCGATCAGAGAAACTTTGACTATGTGTATTGTATCCCCTATAAAAGGGGTGAAACCCCTCATTGTAATGGATCGAAGTAAGAAACGAATAAACTCCTACTTTTCTCTCTCTCTCTCTAAAACTTATATTATTCTTCATTCTCGGTGGTTCTTGACCATCACATTATCTCCCAGAATTTTGATCACTTCCCCCATACAGTATTGTAAGCTTAGCCACACAAAGTTTGATAATTGTGGATCAAACTCATAGTAAGATTTCATCACTGCTTCAACTAGGTCATCAATTGTTTTGCACTTCTTTTCTTGCTGCAGAGCTTGAATATCCCTAAAGTACCCCAAGTCCAGAAGATTTAGGTCTTTACTATTTGGTGGTTGGCATGTTAGCTCAATGTCAAACCCATGAGACTTGGATGCTGCTAGAAAATCAGGATCATCACATGTTAGATGAGGTCTAGCATTATCTTGCTGGATGCAGATTCTCTTACACCCATTGATTGGCCACTTTTCCTTTATTGCAACCAATACTTTGTTGATTAAAAATGACTTGTACACCTCTTTGTTCACTGAGAGCACAGGCTTGGTAACTAAGGTACCCCTGGGTCTGTTTCTGCTACGTCTCCTATCTAGTACAAACGAGAAAAATACCAATTTTAAGTTCACTAGTTTTTGAATATTGTGGCCTAGCAGAGGCAGCAGGGAACATGACTTTGGTTATAAACTTTTTTGACTGAACATTCCTATGTAAGTTATTCTCCTCCTCATCTGCATGAACATACACTCTTTGTGTGGTTTGAGTCATGTAAAATCACTTTTCATCCACATGCACATAATTATAGAAGTCTTCAAACATAGGTACCATATTAATGGTATTACTTTTCAGATTACTAATACAGAATTGTAAGCGTTTTACCTTATTTTCTTCTGACAAGGCTTAATGGCATTTGTGTGAGCCTTTATATTTCCACGTGTGACCATTCTGTGCACAATGCTTTTTGACCTCGAAATAGCCTTTGCCAATGCTATGATAGTTCGTCTTTTACTTGGGGATACAGCTGAGGCCTCTTCCACTGATATGTTAATCTTCTCTCTTCCATATGCTTTACCTTTCATCTCGTTTGGTATTGAGATGGCCTTTCCATTTTGAATTTGTTTCTTTGCAGAGTCCCATAGCCTTTGCATAGTTTTTGAGCTTATGTTGTGTCTTGCTGCCAATGTCTTCATCACACCCCTTGTTGGCTTTCCATTTTCCCTTGTTGGCTTTCCATTTTTTATGTGCTATAAAAGCACTGGAATCATGCATGCTCTTTGTTCATCAGAAAGCTTGTGTGTTTGTTTTATTCTTGGTATATATGTTGTTTTCAGTTACAGGTTCAAGAAAGGTGATTGTGTGATCTTCCATTCTTGAAGACAATGAAAATGAAGAAAATGTTAAACTTTCAATTCTTTTCTTTTTTTCAATCATTGCCGTGGCATTTGGGTCTTTTTCACAGCCCCTCCCCCACTTCCTTGGTTTTTGGTCCAAAAAGAATGTGGACAAAGAGAGTGGGACCGAGGGAGTAGTTTATTATAAATGAAGTGAAAAGATATAACATTAATAAAATACTTGTATACTCTAATAAAAATGATGGTATCTATTCCATAATTAAATTGACTCAATAATGTTGAGCAATTGTATTCTATAATTTATTTAAGAATATCATATCATAATAGATAATAAAAATTAATATATTTTTAGATTTAAATCAGAAATTATCTAAGATCTATAAATCATAAATTGTCTAGTACTAAAATCAAATCATAAAATCAATATATTCAAATTATGAAATTACATATAATATCTTTTTTTCTATTTTACCATAATTATAGTCTAGTCATCTCTTGTTTTAAAAATAATATGATGTAAATTTCAATAATATATTGTATGTTTTAATTTTGCATCAATATTGCAATAATTAGAATAAAAAAGGACTTAATTGAAACATATTATAATTAAGGTAAAAACATGATGTTATTTATTAATTTAAAGTTTTTTTGGGGTGGGGGGGGATTGAAAGTTTTATTATAAATGATGATAGTAAAAATAAATAAAATAGGAAAGAATTTTATCATAGAAATGAATATTTCTCTTCCATAATTAAATGTATCCAAAGATTTTATACAAAAACGTAGATTTTACGATTTATATGTTTCAAATTAGGTACAATATTCGATGTTTAAAAACATATGAAACTTCATAATAGGTAAAGTTAGTATTTTATTTAGTAGGTGTGAAAATTTAAGTAAAAATAATCAAGCCAACTTCATTTAAATGTATTATAAACAAACATAAAGTACATTATTTGTGTATGGGTGAAAAGAATGCTTTATTTATATTTAAAAGTTTATTCAATTTTAGTTGAGTCATATATTGATTTCTTCCAAACTTTAAAAATTCCTCAAGTTCATTCAATTTGTTTTCATTCTTTCCAAGGTCTAAAAATTATTTACTTTTTTTTTAATATTTGAAACTTTGAACACTTTTTTTATTTTTCTTGTTCATTTGATAAAAATAATATAGTCATGTTACTTCTAATTTTGTAAATCTTTTGATCTCGTTTTTAAATATATATTTTTCATTATTCAATTTCACATTAACTATCACATAAAATGAATAAAAAATAATTTCAATCAAACATCGTAATGGAAGAAGGGAGTATTTATAAAAAAACTTTCATACACTAATTTTGGTACTTTAAAATTTTAAAACACTAGACTTTAAAGTATACTAGTATTTTTACCCGTGCAACGCACGGGGTCGAAATTTTTTTTTATTGGTTCTAAAACTTTTTTAATGTAATATTTTTTCCCAGAATAAAGAAAATATATTTCCCTATGATTTTTAATACTATATACAAAAATTCCAAAGTAGAATAAACAATATTTGAGGAATTGAATGTGTATTCAACCAAGTTTTTTTTTAATACCAAACTTTTTGAAAGACTATAGGGTATATAATTTTTTTGATATAGTTCCAAGGGTATCATTGTCATCTAGAACTAATATTTTTAATTTTGTTTTTGTCTTCACTCATGGAACCATAACATAAAGCTGACCATGAGTGAATACCAACTTTGTAAAAGTAATGCAAGAAATGAGAATGTTTGACTTTGAGTTTTGTTGATAGTCATTGCAAAATATAAGACTATTGATATTTCCCTTATAAATAACTTCAAGAGTGGTCCTAGATCAGATGATATCAATTTCAGTAGGAGTATGTAAACTTTTTGCTGGCTCGATTTTTCAAAACCACAATCGACTCACAACATTCTTTCATAGCTCTTCAAGGATGAATCGTGTACCATTACATAATCCATATATTTGGTCAATGTTTCTCAATATCAAAATCGTTAAGCCATTTTTAAGATTATTTTGTAGTTTTGGATCCCCGAACATTTGATTTCATTTAAAATTTAATTGTTATTTAATTGTCATCAATAATTACATCTGAATCGGCCTGACATGAAGAATCAAAACTCAGGCACACCATTTCATATTAGGTAATGAGAGATATGACAAATTCATTTACCATCTCTACAGCCTCAAACATGGTCCAGTAGTGCCATATCCTAAAAAATGAATAAATTTTCATACTCTCCAATAGGTTCAATTAGGATAAGTGAAGTCCACTATACTGTTCACAAAATAACTTGTGTCTAAAATTAATAATTTATGCGGAATTTTAAGGTCAGTTGTTTCATCAATCACTTGTCTAAGTTTTTCATCTCTAACTTTAATTATCCAATCAGAAAAAATTTATGTCTCCCTATCTGGGATAGAGGACGTAGAAAAATGTAATATCATATTCTTCGCTAACATATAAATTTTAAAATACGACCATAATTTTAAAGAATAGATGATAGCACTTACAATTTTCTCTCTTGAATTTTTGGGTAAAACAGGAAGAGTTTGTCAAAAATCACCTCTGAGTACAACTATTTTCCCTTCGAGTCTTACTTTTTCCCCTCCGAATTCAACTATTTCCCCTCCAAATGGTTCATTTCTAGAGTTTTTATTAGATAAATTCATTACATCTCTCATTTTGTGATCCAACACCTTAAAAATAAATCTATTCATCATGCATGTTCCATCCCATATTATTAGACTTACTTGTTGGATTAGTTCTGCTTTCAGACTCTCTTGTTTGATGGCACACGTTATGCAATCGCCCAAAGAGATTGAGAATCTCAAGTGTAATGTCATTCACCCATGTCCTTCCCCCATGAAAAGTAATGCTGCAATACAACTGGATGTGACATTCAAGACAATCTTATCATTTTACATTAGAGAAATAAACACTGATTTCTATAAAAAAAAATATTTTTTCAGTTCCACTGTAACCATACATAAAAAAGAAACCTCCTCTTTCAGGTGTCACAACTTCCATTATCTCATCGTATATATTGTGCTGATATTCATTCATCGTAGATAAGTATCTCATAAAATCATATGCAAACTTTTCTTTTTCACTTTTATAATGCAAAATCATTCAAGCCCTTGATAGTATTCTCGTCAATATACAAAATGTTTTATCAAAATAGAAATAATTATAAATATGAAATTATATTTCTCTTTGATGTGGTTGTAACTTGTAACTTAGTCTCGATCTTATTAGTCTCCATTCGGATTTAATATTTTCATTTGACTTTTCTTGGTCAAATTTTTCATACTTTAACCTTGTTATATAGAAAAAAGGAATCTCTGCATATTTAGTAGCTAAATAATAAATTTTGGAGTTCCGATCAACAAAATGGGAAATCTGTTCTCGTAAGCTCCGCAAAGAATATGGAAAATAATATAATTCACCAAAAAATAATGCTATCAATTTCCTTTTTAAATAGATTACTAATGATGCCCTCCCTTAAACTTACCAAATGAAGTGTGAGTACATCATCAATTACACAATAGTTTTCACAATTTCACCTATTGACACTATAGAAGAAAAAAAGAAAGATATGCAAAGAGGTTCCCAAGAAGTTGAAGATGATGATTTTGTAAAAAAAAAGATATATAAGGTAATATAAGTGTAGAAGGAAACTTTTGGTAGTTACTACTCCATATATATTACTTTGTATATATTTCCTAAACAAAACTAAAAAAATCACTCAAATAGAAGTAAGACATAAATCTTATGCCCAGAATAAGAGTTCAATATTTTTATTTCCTAAATAAAGTTTACACAGTGATGTTGTGGCAATGTATATTACCATTTCATAATGTTTTTAGCACTATATAATAAAATATTGGTATTCTAGTTAATATTTTGGAGATAAAAAATATGAAACTCATATTTTGGCACTTTCTCCATATTCTAATCTTATTTTAGTTTTTTTCCCAAATAATTATAGTGGCACTTCGTAATCCGTATAGGTGGCGGATGATTTGTTAAAATGTTGCAATGTAGACTCACCACTTATTGTAATTCTATGAGTTTAACTCTTAAATTTAATATAAAAAGATAAAGATATGTAGCAACCAAACCCATTCTTTTTGTTTAGCATAAGACCACTAACCTAAATATAAAATTAATAAAATTCATTCAGAGAAGTAAGTGCATAATTAATCATTTCATAAAAATAGATGAATCTAAATCACTTTTTTATGCAAAAATATACTCCCTCCGTCCCTCATAGATCTTCTCATTAACCCTTTTTATTTGTCCACCATAGATCTTCTCATTACCTTTTTTAACAATTAAAATATATACCACAATTATTCCCACTTACTTTATTTATTACACCCCATCTACCTCATTTAATACACTCCACCCATTTTCATTAAGGGTATTATGGTAAACTTTAACATTTTTTCAACTCTCCTTAAAAACCACAAAAAGTCAAAATGAGAAGATCTTAAGGGGACAGAGGGAGTGATTCTAAATCCAAAAATAGAAAGTGTTCTTTACCCCCCATACGTATATATGGTAAATAAATTGGTATTTTTAAATAATTCTAAAAACTTTATTCATTAACTGTCTCAGTTCGCTTTGCTCTCAAATGCTTGAATAATTATTTATATAAATATATAATGAATTGAAATATTAAAAATTAGACTATAATCTCAAAATTAAAAATATGTTTGATAAAAAATTTCATTGGTCAAACATATCATTCGAAAAATGAACTGGGTGTTAAAAACAATAGAGTTACTAATTCTTAAGATTAACTGCATTAAACTAAAAAGACAAATAAATTAGTCACTATGTTCAATCAATAAAAAATAAAATAAAATAATGTCAAATCAGTACTCCGTATGTTGATTAAAATTACCAACTCATTAAAATAATAAATAGACAACAGATGATTTATTAAAAATGTCATATTAGCTCGTGACATGCCAATATCATGTAAGCCAGAGTCTCAAATTTTATAATAAAAGGAAGAATTAGCCAATAAATGTCATTAGTAGTTAATTGAAAGTTGTTTATAATTAACATTTATAACCTCCTAATTATAATTACTTTACATATACCTCGTAAAAAGTTTTTCATATGTGCAATAATTGGGAATGAATATTTGCTCTAATAAGATGTTTTCATACTTTAAGTTAAAATTGCCAAGTCACTTAACTCATCAAATGTGGCTAATGATGTGTAAAAAACATTTGCCAAGTAGCCTGCCACATGTCGAATTTCTAGGAGTTTAACTCCCAAATATTATATATAAAGGATTTTTCAAAACAAATTTTCAATAATGATTTGAGAAAAGAACATAGTTTGTAGATCTTTTGATCTAACATAATTGAATATATAATTGACATCACTATATTATTTTACTAAAAATATTCAAACTCCAAATTTCATGCGTAATTTTTAAGATTCATTGAAATTTTGACAAAAATATTATAATTGATATATTTAAATTTAAAAGTTTTTGAAAAAAATTAATTATCATTTCCGAAAAATGAATAAAAGGAAAGTTAGAAACTAATTGAAAAAGGAAAATTTAAAAAACACCTCCTTTCAGTGATCGTACGGTCGAGTTTGGGGGCTCTCGAGCATGGGGCTCATCCTTTTTGTGGTGCCCCCTCTTATCTCAAAATCTCACTATTGCACAATAAATTCTCAATTTCTTTAATTTTCTATTTAGATAAATAAATTTTTCAAATTATTTCTACAAGTATTTTAAGTAATGTTAATTAATTCTAAATTTAGATGTCTTTTTTTATGAAAAAATATAATTCTGTGTAGTTTTTTCTTTTATTGAAAAGTTTAGTTGTATTTAAAATTTAAGTGTTGTGTTTGATTTTATATTGTATGAATTTAGATGTTTGAATGAATGAATGATCTTTCTTAAGTTTGTTCAATTTTTTAAGTGTTCTATCTCATCCATTTGTTTGTCACACAACAAGAGAATAATTAAAGACGAGCGCCTTGTAGTTTATGGCACTGTTTTGGCTGATCTCCTAAATGAGAGGTCACATGTTTGATCCCCAGTGCGATAACTCTACGAGCTTTAATATGTTGAGAATTTCTGAACAGATACATAGTAATAGGGTTATGAGTGTTCAGAAAAAGACGAGCGCCTAATTTACTTCTTGTTCATTTTACACCTATTTGAATATAGTATAATAGATTAGCAAAGAGAATAGTGCATCGTTTACTCCCGAATTCTGCAGAAATTGCATGATTTACCCCTAAACATTAAAAAGTTTACCAATACCCCCGAGTTTTTTAAAAATTGTACAATTTAGTCCAAAACATTAATCATACTCGCAATTCCCGTGCGTGGGAGCAACACACTCCCTATCTAGCTTTTTAGGACCAACGGTGCAATGATTTAAATTGTTCAAGAGTATTTGGTGCATTTTTTAATGTTCAGAGGTAAATCGTGTAATTCTCGAAGATTTTAAGGGTAAATAATGCATTTTTTAATATTCAGGAGTAAACCATGCAATTTCTAAAAAGTTTAGGAGTAAATGATACAATTTTCTCAATTAGCAAAGAGATAAGGAGTTATCAATATCATTCCCAATAGTAATCGTGGAAGGCATTTTTTGCCTTAGTTGTGTAACAGTGTTTTATGCCTAAAGACCATATATTTTTATTTGAAAGATTATCAAATAAAAAGCAGCAAAATACGAAGATCTTACAGTTACCTTTATATCTCGCTCTTTAAATGAGGTGGCACACTTCTTGACCCGCTCTACTCATTCTGTTGAGAGTGTAGGGGAATGGATTGGCTCAACCCAAACTTTATTTTCTTGGTTATTTAATATTTGATCCTTATTAAAAAGCCACAAAATGCACTCCATGATTTGTTTATGCATGCTACAAGTATTCAAAAAGGGCACTACAAGAATTTCAGCTTTTTGCGACGGAATATTTCCATCGCAATTGGCTTCTTTTCTCTCGCAATTAAGAGTTGCGACGGCATTTGCGACCACTTTCATTCCGTCGTAGTTTTTTGGCCGCAAACCGCCGTGCGACCATTCCATCGCAACTCTGCGACCATATTTACGACGGCCTTTAGCCGTCGTAGAATTTGAGACGGACTTTACAAGAGATTCAAAATGTTCTTGTAGACATATCTGCGATGGAGAATTGCGACGGATGGAAATCATCGCAGTGGATTCGACGGCATTTGCAACTCCCAGTATAACACGTAAAACGTTTGCGACGGAATATGTCCGTCGCAAACTCCGTCGCAACATGACCAGATTCTGCAGGCAAAAATCAGTTTCTACAGGCAACCATACAGTTACAAAATTAGCCAAAAATCATATACCAACTAGAACAAAAGACAGAAACAGGAAAAAAACACAAGAAATGAACAATGAGAATTTTCAAACAAACCAAATATTGATCATAATCAGAGTAGTCTCCAGTCCACAAAATGTATAACGCCTCAAATATAAGGTACTTGAAAGAATTGTTAAAGAGGAAAATCTCTCGTATTATTTCTGTGTTTGCAATGTACAACCAAGCGTTACATATATAGTGGAGAATCCTAGTTAACAAAGAAAAAGGAATCTCTATACAAGGAAACTACTAAAACTAATATATACGAAATATACGAAAATATCTCCGAAATCTTCTCTATCTCCCAAATCTTCTCTTTCCTTTTACACCCCCCCTCAAGTTGGAGCATGTAATGAAGAGATGTCCAACTTGGGTATAAGAAACTCCAGTCGTGACTTCCCAAGTGCCTTTGTGTGAATATCCGCAAGCTGGTGCATAGTAGGAACATGAAGAGCCCAGATCTCTCCTCGTAATAACTCATCACGAACGAAATGACAATCTATCTCAATATGCTTTGTTCGTTCGTGAAAAACTGGATTAGCGGCGATGTGAAGGGCCGCGGTACTATCACAGCGAACTGTCATAGGGTCCTTATGCTCAATTCCCAAACATCGTAACAAGCTCTTCAACCACTTCAACTCACACGTAAGAACAACAAGAGCACTGTACTCAGCTTCAGCAGACGAACGAGCCACCGATGTCTGCTTCTTCGTCTTCCACGAGACCGGCGACTCGCCAAGCTGTACAAACCAGCCCGTCAGTGACCGTCGTGTCAAAGGACATGCTGCCCAGTCCGAATCACACCACCCTGTAAGCTGAAGACTACTATATGCAGAGAGGAAAATGCCCTGTTCAGGACATCCTTTTAAATAATGAACTACCCCAAGTGCCGCGGTTCACTGATCCTCCCTTGGTTCTTTCAAGAATGGTGCTAAAGTATGCACTGCATAGGAAAGCTCTGGTCGTGTAGCAGAAAGATAAACCAATCGCCCAACCAACCGTCGATATGGTTCCGGGTCAGCAAGAACTGGGGCTTGCGAACGAGCCAAGTGATGATTTGGCTCCATCGGGGCACCCAACGGCCTGGCGCCTAACAACCCCGCCTCACTAATGATATCTAAGGCGTACTTTCGTTGGCAGAGAAAAATCCCAGATGTGCTTCGTGCTACCTCGATGCCAAGAAAGAACTTCAAAGTCCCCAAATCCTTCATACGAAAACAATCTGCCAAATAATCCTTGAACTTGCGAATCATCTCCGTGCTATCACCAGCAATGATCAAATCATCTACATAAACCAGAACATGTATCACTCCTTTCTTTCCAACGAAAGAAAATAAAGAGTAATCGGAGACGGACTGCACAAATCCATATCGTCGCAAAGCTCCAGATAATTTTGCAAACCAACATCTTGGAGCGTGTTTCAAGCCATACAAAGACTTCTTGAGTTTGCACACCATGTTGGACGAACTTGAGAAGCCGGGTGGCAACCTCGTATACACCTCATCATGAAGATCTCCATGTAGGAATGCATTGTGGACATCCATTTGGTGCAGTTCCCACCCTTTTACCGCTGCAACTGCCAAAATGGTTCGCACCGTAGTCAACTTGACTACAAGAGCGAATGTTTCTTTATAATCGATGCCTTCAACCTGGTGATTGCCGAGTATAACAAGCCTAGCCTTGTATCTTTCCACACTTCCATCAGACTTGCGCTTGATTTTATATACCCATTTGCATCCAAGAGCCTTCTTATGGCGTGGAGGATGAATAAGAGACCACGTCCCATTAGCCTCCAGAGCATCAATTTCTTCTCGCATGGCCTTCCTCCACCGTTCATCCTGGAATGCATGTTTGAAGTTTCTAGGCTCGATGTCTTCATCAAGTGCCGTGAGAAAACACTTATGTTTCTCAGAAAATTTCTCATAAGTAACATATGAGGAAAGTGGATATCTGCACTTTCCCTCAATCAACGGACTGGCCACATGTGTAACATAGTCTGCAAGCCTCACATTTGGTCGTCTCTCCCGTTGGCCACGCCCTAAGACCTCTGTTGCTTGCTGGGAAGAGGACGATCGACCGCCATTCGTGGAATGGTCCACGGGGTCGACCGTCTGTGACAGTTCCTCACTGCCTCCTTTCTGCCTCGAGGACGGTCGACCGTTGTTCTCATCACGGTTGACCGTGTCTTTATCTCCCTGGAGTCCGTCTCTCTGCTCGTGGAACGGTTGACCGTGTCTCTCAGAACGGTCCACCGCGTCGACCATTGGTTGGTCTCCCAGGGATCCATCTTTCTGCCTCGATGACGGTCGACCGTGGTTCACAAAACGGTCCACCTGATCGACCGCCTGTAGCTCAGCTGCATTATCTCCTTCTTCCGGTTGACCGTTCCTCATGAGACGGTCCAGCTGCTCTTCCTCAGGGACTTCATCATCATCATCAAAGTGATCAATGGAAGTGGAGCTACTCGATCCATTTGCATCCAATGTTTCACCTGTAGAGACCAAATAAGGAAATTTGTTTTCACAAAACACAACATCCCGTGACACGCTTATCTTCTCAGTGTCTGGAAAATATACGCGCCATCCCTTCTTTCCTTGTGGATAACCCAAAAATATTCCAGGAATACTTCAGGGCGCAAATTTATCTCTATCTCTCTTCAGATTGTGAACAAAACATCTACAACCAAAAATTCGAATATGAGTCAGTGCAGGAGCCCTTCCATAAAGTTTTTCATACGGCGTAACCCCCCCTAAGAGAGACGAGGGTGTCCGGTTAATCAAATAAGCCACCGTCTGTATTCACTCTCCCCAGAACTCGATTGGAAGCCCTGGCTGAAATCTCAAAGCGCGACCTACATTCAGAATATGCCGATGTTTACGTTCAACTCTACCATTCTGTTGCGGCGTAGACACACAAGATGTCTCACGAACAATTCCTTTTTCCAGAAAATATTCTGTCAAACATTCAAATTCTGTACCATTGTCACTTCGTACACATTTTATCCGTTTCCCAAACTTACATTCAACCATGGCACAAAATTGTCTAAAAACACCTCCTACGGTACGCTTAGAATCAAGCAAATAAACCCACACACCACGTGAGAAATCATCCACAATAGTCAAAAACATAGTAGAACCATCCAAACTCGGTGTCCGATAAGGACCCCACAAATCACAGTGCACCATATCAAATTTATCCAAATATTGATGAAAACTGAAGAAAACTAGCACGAGTTTGTTTAGCACGTAAACAGACATCACAATGACTATGACTATGTTTATTCGAACCAGCTACAGGAATTAAGGACAAAACATGTGAAGAAGGGTGTCCTAGACGTTTGTGCCAAAGATCAAACGAATTCTTCTTAGCAGCACTGCACGCCATGTTCCTCTCCTCCTTCTTCAAATAGTATAATCCTCCTTCAAGTCTACCCACACCAATCGTTGTCCTCAAACTTAGGTCCTGTAAGATGCACAAATTATTGGTGAACTTTGCCTCACAGTTCATATCTCTTGTCAACTGTGACACAGAAATCAAATGGCAATTCAAGGTTGGAACAAATAACACATTCTGCAAAGTCATAGTCATAGTCAAATCAACCTTCCAGATTGAACCGACACTACCCTTTTTCCATCGGGTAATCCAATTTCACACGGAGACACACCCACCACATCATACAATAACGAAATATCACCTGTCATATGATTGGACGCACCAGTATCGATTATCCAACGAGGTGACACAGGAATACCTGAGAGTTTTGGTGAGTTGTCTGTAGGGGATAATGAGAGGGCATGACGAACAGCATTCCACTGCTCAGGCGTCAAATCCTCAAAGTTTGGCAGCGGAGATGGTCCCTTTTCTTCTCCTTGGATAGCGTGAACTTCGCCTCGTCCGCCCGTGGCGGTCGACCGTCCAGTGGCCACGGTCGACCGTCCGCCGCCTCGTGCGGTCCCACGGCCTCTTCCTCGTCCGTTTCCTCTTCCTCTCCCAGCCTGATCGCGGAATACCCAACCTTCAGGGTACCCAATCAGCTTGTAGCATGCCTCGACCTCATGTCCTGTTTTCCCACAGTGGGTGCACACAAGCTCTTTGACCTCAATCTTGTTCTACACAGCAAACACGGATGCACTTGCTTCACTGCTCTCTCCTTTATGCATACCATTTCGTGCGGTCTCGTCTTGGACAAGAATATTGTATATTCTTGCCAGTGGTGGTATGGTCTCTTGGGCCAACAAATTTGACCGCAAGGTTCCATACAAAGCATCTGTAACGCCCTACAACCCGGCCTATTAGAATTGATTGTTTTAAATAATTAATTACTATTCCGATCCAGAGTTGGGGAAATAAAATTTCTTAGGAAAATTATGCCTTATTCACCCCCCCTCTAAGGCGTGGGCACAACGACTAAACCGACTAACACTCGGTGAAGAGAGGAAAGAGTAAACGAAATGTGTATAACCTTCTGATACGTTATTAGCGTACGCATCGCATCGCGAATGGCAAAATTGATCTATACCGGAACGTCTCGTAGAAGTAAGACGCCTTTGAAGAAACGATTAATATTGATTTTATGAACAACATCTGAGAAGCTGAGGTCAAAGATCCTGACTCAAGACGATCTAATCGCTGATTCAAACACGAACGTTTAGAATTAATAAACTCTGTTATCTGAAGTATTCCATTCTGATTTCTAATTCATTACGACGCAAATATGTGGTTATATCACATAAATCGAAATCGTTCGTTAAGCGATAATTCCTTGTAAAACATCGTTGAAATACCATACAAGGAAATTGACATTATCCTTAGTATGAATTGACTGACTGAACGCCGTTGCTGTTAACAACTTGTNAAGAATGAAGAAAATATAGCTCGCACTGGTCATACAGCCTAGAATAATATTTATGGAAAATATCATTTCAACATACAACTTGGATCATATGAGGAATGTTACAAATGCAATTCTAAGTCTAATCTCCCAGGATTCACAAACTCATCATAACTAACCCCAGGTCCCGGGAAAGCTTTAGCAAACTCTAGTTTGTCTAAAAGCTCGTCAACAGAGAAAGAAGAAATAAAAAGTATCCTCTGACTGGAAGCCATGAAGTTCTGCCTCACCGCATCGTCTAAGAATTTGAGAAGGTTATTGAAATAACCGTCAATGTTTAAAAGACCAATGGGTCTATTGTGTAACCCTTCAGAAGCCCACGAGATCAAGGTGAACAAACCTTCCATGGTGTCAACTCCTCCGGGAAGAACAATGAAAGCTTCCACAGCATGATTCATCTCAAAATATTTGTAGTAATTGCTGGAAACTGTGTGCTCTACGCCATATGTAGGTCCGTAGACCCGTCGTGTTGCTATGTACCCAGGAATGAAACCTCTAACGAGACCACCATTGTTGAAGACTATTGAAGCAACAGCTCCTTGTAGGCCAACGTTGCCTCCTCCATAAGCAAGACTAATTCTTCGCCTTATCAATTCTCTTCCTAAATCTACTGCAATAGCCATAAACTTTGGATTTATACCAAGAGAATGACTACCAAGTAGACCAACGAACCTTATGGTGTAAGGAAGTGTTTGAGAAGTTCCTTTCATAATGTGAGAATGTGAGATACTCTTTCCATAATCGTGATATATATAGTCTCTAAAACTGGACCATTGATGGAAAAGTAATTATCACAAGCCAAAATACATACAGTAAAATGGATTCAAATTACCTGCAAATGAGAACGTACTCGCTAATACTATAGTCTGCTGACGATATGACGTATTGAGACTCTTGAACAGTTAGATTCGCTGTCCTGAAACACGTTCAAATCCGAGACAAAAAGTCAAAATGGCTATTTCCTAAGACAACGACCTCTTGAGTAACTTCCAAAGAGTGAAACATTGAAGGAAGAAAACCTACGATTAGTAAAGGTAATTCACAAATGCTATCTTGATATCTTATGACTCATATCCTTGAATTACTCAAACTTGATGTGTTAACTACACCCTTGAAACATCCCGCTTGATCAATCATGAAAAGATTGAATTCCATTCTTTGTATCAAAATAATAAAACCACGATTCTTCATTAAACGAAAAGATGTTTTATGATATCGATCTTTGAAAACTATACCTTGTGGAATACATGACTCGATCACAATAGTAAAACTACCTTGACTTGAACATTATGTTGAACCTCTCTTTGTGGACCTCAAAACAATCAATACAATGACGTTATCTCTGAAGATTATTATTGATGATCTTATTGACCAAACAAACTCCGTTATAACCCTAGCAAGGATATGTGTGTGCAACAACCAAAGAAGAAATGACGTCACAAGGATCAAGCTAAAATTATTCAGAGCGAAAATCCCCAACCTATATATTATATTGGAGTAAGAATAGTAAGATTTCTTACTTTATGAATTCGTGAATTGAATCCCATACCGAATATATTTCCTTCTTCACTCGAAATGAAATCAACCATAGTGTTACATCAAACCCGTCATTATCAAGAATGTATGTTCCAAAATCGATGAAGAAAGTTGAATATGACAAGACGTATATGAAACGCCACTCTAATGTTATCACCTGTGGATACGAATTAATGCAAAGACTCATTAACGATAAATGAGAGCTACCATGAAGATGAATGAAGAAATGTTTCAACACAAGGTCGATGAATGACGAACTACTCTACAACCGATCGACAGTACCTCCTCATAAATGATGACAAATCCTATATTCTGGAAATCATGAACCAATAAAAGCCAATTGATGTTACTTACGAATCATTGCTGAACTATGAAAACGATGTGAGGATGTTTTGGATGAAGATTACGCTATGACGTATGAATTAAACAACATCCAAATCTTCCACTATAACTATCGCGAACTTGAAACTGCAAATGCTACTGAAGGACTTTCAATCAAAGAAAGAATGTTGTTGACTAATGACGAACAATCAAGACTTGTGAATGAACGAAGTATGTCAAATATGCTCCAAAATACGATGTTATACCCTG